CAGGTAATAGGGTCAGATAACGGACCAGCCTTTGTCTCCCAGGTAAGTCAGAAGGTGGCCAGGTTACTGGGGATAAATTGGAAGTTACATTGTGCTTACCGGCCCCAGAGTTCAGGTCAGGTAGAGCGAATGAATAGAACCATTAAGGAGGCTCTAACTAAATTCTCGCTAGCAACTGGCACTAAAGACTGGGTTACTCTGCTGCCTTTGGCATTATACCGGGCCAGGAACACTCCTGGGCCCAGTGGGTTGACTCCATTTGAAATCCTTTATGGGACCCCTCCCCCTGCAATCTCCTTCTTAGACCCCGACATTTCTAACTTTGCTGATTCTCCTTCCCTATTTGCTCACCTGAAGGCACTGCAGCTGGCTCACCAGGAAATCTGGAAGCCCTTAGCTACGGCCTATCAGGATACTATTGACACTCCTATTGCACCCCACCCCTTCCAGCCCGGGGACGCTGTCTGGGTCCGGAGGCATCAGACTCGGAGCCTAGAACCACGCTGGAAGGGACCATACACCGTCCTTCTCACCACACCAACCGCTCTTAAGGTCGACGGGATTGCGACTTGGATCCACGCCTCCCACGTCAAGGCAGCGAACCCTGAACACCAAGAACAGCCCCCTGACGAAAGGAAATGGCGGCTAGTCCGGACAGAAAACCCCTTAAAGCTAAGACTCACTACAATTTAATGATCCTAATTCTGTTTTCCCTTATTCCCGCTATTCAATGTCCCAACCCCCATGCTGTGTACAACATAACCTGGACTTTGATTGGTCTCCGAGACAACCAGCCCCTTAATCAGACCTCTAAGGTGGGGACTTTAGGCGCCACCTTTCCGAGCTTAAGCTTTGACCTCTGCAAATTAATCCCTGGAGCTTGCTGTGGGACAGGTGGCCGTTTCCATGGGGTGTATGCATGCCCAGGGAATGGGAGAGAACCAGATCTCATAACTTCGTGCAAGGGACCGGAAGTAGGTTATTGTGCTGTATGGGGCTGTGAGACCGCTGGGACCACTTACTGGAAACCCAGCTCTAGTTGGGATTTGATTAAGCTGTCAGAGACAGGGTCTAGAATATGCACAGGTACCAACCGGCTAACTTTAGAACTCACAGAGAACGGGAAAAAGGCCGACTGGAGCCTCCAGAAGACATGGGGCATTTATGTTTATCTCCCTGATTGGGGATGGAAAGATCCCTTCGGCCTCATTACAATAAGGAGAGAATACTCAGTCCTTGCCCCACCTCAGTCAGTCGGACCTAACCCCGTTCTTCCAGACCAACGCCCGGCCTCGGTACCTAGAGCTCCCTCACTGGATAGTCGGAATCAAACCCATAGCAGACCCCAGACACCCCTAAGTCCTACCCCAACCACACCAGGTACCGGGGATAGGCTCCTAAATCTAATCAAGGGGGCATTCCAGGCACTTAATCAATCTGATCCTGGAAAAACTAAGAGCTGCTGGCTGTGCCTTAATCCACAGCCCCCCTACTATGAGGGCATTGCCATTCAGGGAAATTACTCTAACCATACAGAAGCCCCCCCCGCATGTCTAACCGGGGAACATCAGTTAACCCTGACTCAGGTGACCTCTAGTGGCACCTGTATCGGAAACCCCCCTACTACCTCCAAGTTCTGCAATGAAACTGCAATAATCTATCCTGGTAATTATTATCTAGTACCTCCTAGTGGTACCTATTGGGCATGCAGTACGGGGCTCACCCCATGTGTGTCAGCAACAATGTTAAACTCTACCCGGGATTTCTGTGTCCTAATTCAGCTGTGGCCTCGGATTTACTGGCACGAGGATGACTATGTACTGAATTTTTATGAGAATTCCCCCACCAGGTTTAAGAGAGAGCCTATCTCCCTCACCTTGGCCGTTCTGCTAGGAGTAGGAGGTATCACTGCAGGAATAGGTACGGGGGCCACCGCGCTTGTCCGTACAGACCAATACATGCTTTTACACCAGGCGATGAACCAAGATCTGCTCGCCTTGGAAAAATCCGTCCGGGCTCTTAAGGACTCCCTTACCTCTCTATCCGAAGTAGTATTACAAAATAGACGGGGTTTAGATTTGTTATTCCTAAAACAGGGAGGCTTGTGTGCTGCCTTAAAAGAACAATGTTGCTTCTATGCTGATCAGACTGGGATAGTCACTGAGACTCTAGACAGGCTCAAACATAGATTAGAAGAAAGGAAACGACACCTTGAGTCTCAACAAGGATGGTTTGAAAACCTTTATAATAGATCACCCTGGTTCACCACATTGGTATCCACCCTAGCTGGACCCTTAGTCCTACTCCTTCTTATTTTAACCCTGGGACCTTGTATACTTAATCGACTGGTCCAATTTGTGAAGGAACGGCTGTCTGTAGTGCAGGCGTTAGTCCTCACAAGCCAGTACCAGGCATTGAGGACCGAAGATCCAGACATGTTATGATGAGTGAAAGATTCCACTCATATGCCCATAGAAAAAGAGGGGAATGAAAAATAAAGAGAAACTAGATGCCATGAGTACTCAGGGGCCCACAGCCCACTTGTTATAACTTAACAGAAACCAGGACCAGCCTTATCTAAAGGCTGCAAGGCAGGTAGGCGCCGGTCAAGCTTCACAGATCAAGCTGTAAACTGGCTTTACGGTCAGAACTCCTGACCACCCTGAGGGCCCGATACCAGGAAATCTTTAGAAAACGTCTGTGCTTCTGAGGTCACCTCCCATTTAGCAATCCTATTTCCCCTCAGCCCCGGACCTTACCCCATACCTCTGCATACCTTTGAAATTACTGGTAAAATTACTATGTGTGTTTGAAATTAACCAATAACCGCGTTTCTGCTTCTGTACCCTGCTTCTGCCTTATAAAAACCCCCTGAACTCAACCTGGGGTGCGCTAGTCCTCCGAGGAGACTCTGTGCCCACAGGTACCTGTGTCCTAAATAAACCTCTTGCTGTTGCAACCCAAAGGCTGTGACTTGTCCTCCGTGGTCTCACTCTTACACTAGTGTGAAGAGACAAGCAGACACCTCAGCCACACAAGTGGGCTCTCTCATACTCAGTGAAAGTCTAAAACTTTTACTGTAGAAGTTTTGGGGGAGCAGCACAGACACACAATAGTTGAATAAGAAATACATTTAGGGGTTGGGGATTTAGCTTAGTGGTAGCACAAGGCCCTGGGTTCAGTCCTCTGCTCTGAAAAAAAAAAAAAAAATTCATATTAGAGTTCAAGATCACCAAAAAACAAAACACTGGAGGCTGTTATCCTCTTGGCAGGTGATGAGCAAAACAAAATAGCTCCCCAGATATTGCTACTGTGGTAAAGGCTCCAGCCAGCCCCACATAGGAGCTCAGAACTGCCACCCAGGAGGCTTTTTAGTTCTCCTTCCTCAGAACTGAGCACACAGTAAGGATGCAGGTAATCCTGCAAGAAATGGACTTTCTTTTCTCCCTACAGATAAGAATTAAGCAATTTGGGAGTCTTTTAGATAGACCCACTGAAGGGGTACCCCAACTGTCTCACCCTGTGTCCATGTTCAGCATGGAAAAAGCCAGAGGGGTCTGGGTCCCGATTCTCTATCTGCAAGTTGCGTAACCTCTTCAGAGGATGGTGTAATAAGAATAGGAAGTAATAATTGGCTGGGCAGTTAGGGTAAAAAGACCCCAGAGAAAAGTAGCCAGTTTGTTGCTAAAACTCACAATGCCCTTGGGCCTCTTAGCAACCTACTCCATTCCAAGGCCAAAATGTCAAAAGTATTTGGGAGCTTTTATCTAATCCTTAAAACATTTTAGGGTTACCTCTTGGTGGGGGATGTTGACATAGCAAAAAGTCCCATTTAAAAAAAAAAAAAAGGAAGAGTACACGAAGTTGTTCAGGAAAAAGTGATGGGGAGATATGGGAGGAGTTGGAGGGAGGGAGTGGGCATGGATTTGATAGAAACACCTTATATGCATGTATGAAATTCTCAATAAAATTTTTTTAAAGTTAAAAAAGAAAACCAAAAAAAAAAGTTAACTAAAAAAGAAAAGAAAAATACAGCAACCAAAAGAGGTAGGGAGGAGGGAAACAAAAAAATCTGGAGAAAGCAGACACTGACACTTGTGTAATAATCTAAAAATAATCACCAGCATCCTCAGAAATACGGGAAGGTATTGCAACCATGAAACAAAGACGTAACTTCTGAAAACGTCAAGTCAACCCCTTAGAAAGCGCAGCACAGGGAGAAAAAAAATTAAATAGGAAGGGAAAAAGATATTTAAAAAAGAAGTTCAACATCTGAATAAAAACAGTTGACAAAAAAGAAGACAGGGAAAAAAATGGAGTAAGAAACAAAAGGATTAATTTAAGAAGCTTTGAACAGAAGTTATATTAAAAAGGTCAACTAACAGTCCAGAGAAATAGATGGAAACAGACTTATTTCAGAGAGGTCAAAAACTAGGATGGCTTCAGACTTCTCAAAAATCTAATACTATAAAAAACGAAATAAAACAGAGCAACTGTTCCAAAGTTTGGAAGGAAAATTACTTCAAAATCAGAATCATACAGCAACTCCAAATTGTTATCCCCATAGCAAGCCAGAATCAAATCATTTTCAGACTTAGAAGTTGTCAATACCTTGGTTATGATGCACTACATTTCAGGAAGCTCCTGGATGTGCTCCAATGGGGCAAGACAGAAGAAAATGGAGAGAGAGAAAGTTAAACAATAATAGAAATCTAGCACAAGAGGTCTAAAACCGAATTCTGGAGATGACAGTGAAGGTAAACCCTAGGATTAGCTGTGCACAGGGACAGAGCTGAAGTTTTCACTGTTAGCAGAGGAAAATTCTAAAACAGCCAATGCTGTTAAATATCTGACGAGTCAATTTAAACAACAAATTTGAAGTGGAATTAGTGGAAAATACACAGAAAATTCATCAAATAAAAACCCTAATCAGAAAAGCTTTGTACTTAGACCATAAAATTGCTGATGGAATGTTTGCAGCTTATTCTACAACTTGGGGGTAGACAAAATTCATAGACTTGTTTTTTCGGTCTTTTTTGAGACAGGTCTCCCTATAGCCCCAAGCTGTCCTGGAACTCACTATGTAGAACAGGCCGGGCTTGAACTCATAGAGATCCGCCTGCCTCTGACTCCCAGTGCTGGGATTAAAGGCATGTGCTACCATGCCTGCCATAGTCTTTTATAAAACACTGATTCAGTTTAAAGTAAGCTAAGCAAAAGTCACAGCACAGAAACCACACATGAGAGGAGGGTGGGCAAAGAGCAGAGAGAGCAAAATCTAATGTTACCTAGCAGAAACTAGCAGATCATACCTAAAAAATATGTTTTTAATCTATCAATAGAGCCAGTCATGGTGGCACATGCCTTTAAATCCCGGCACTTCAGAAGGCAGAGGCAGGCAGATCTCTGTGTGATCAAGGCCAGCCTGGTCTACATAGCAAGCTCCAGGCCAGATGGGGCTACCTATAGGGAGACTGTCTCAAAATGCAAACACAAACTATTAATAAAATACTTCGACACTGCATTTTCTACACAGACATAAAACTAAAATGTGAAATGAGCTTAGATAGAAAATCTGTGAGAGAAAAGGAATTGCCTTGCTTTTGTGACAAACCCCAGAACTGTCTGATATAGGACCAGAGTGCTGAGCGCTAACAAAGAGATAGAAGTTACTTCTGCCCTAGCATGGTCAAGAAAGATTAACTACATGGTCTGAAATTCAAAACCATATTGTCAAATATGGCTCTGTGCAACAGCAAAGCTGTTGAAGCCTTAGCTCATCCCTCCCAATCCTGAAGTTTGTGACAGACTTGCGGAATCCTCGGTAGTGTGACACCAGTCACCTGAAGCAGTGTGAAGCAATGGCACCTAGCCAAAAGACAGTCTCTTTTGGTGAACCTTCGGAGGGACCAGGGGCTTTCTGTGTTTTCCATGGGCTTTGCCAAATAGTAGGTGTCTGATGTAATCCACGTTAGAATCTAGCTACCTGCCTCCTAAATTCCCCCATCATTCTTAGTTCACCTCTTCATTTACTGAGTCAGATCTTAACAACGGACATGGGAAAATAAGTATCACTTATACTTGACCCCCAATGTTACAGTCCTTCATTGGCTTAATTAATATACCATGAAGTAAAAATCTGTCAGTATGCCAGCCTCAGAATCCTCTTTTAGTACTGAAGGTGGTGTTGGGACACTTCAGCCCGGATGCCCATGAGGCTAATCACCTGGTGACCAAGACACTGACCTGAACAGCTAGAAATGAAAAGTCTCACCAGGCAAAATGCAAGCTTTTGGCCAGTGTTAACTGAAAAGCATACGAACAGGAGATCCAAGCAGATAGCCTGAGAGTGCCAGGTTCTGCGCTCCACCTGGCATAGGGGCTAAGAACACAGCAGACCAACTCAGAGTCCCAAAATCGAACCCCCCCAGGGAATTCCCCAAATTTATTCTGAGTTCCTGTTAATAGGGGTCCAAACCTTAGAAGGAAGCCTGAGTGTACCTGACTGGAACCTGACTTGGGCTTCTGTGGGTACTCCTGAATAGCTGATCTGAAGCCATCAGCTCCCTCCAAAAAAAACCTGAGAGAACCTGAAACCTGTACCAACCAGCTTTACATAAACAATAAAATAAGGAAAGGACTGAGGCACCCCGAAAATACAAACAGAAGCATACTTCAACTTACTTATCAAATCAGAATCATAAACAACAAAAGAAATTCACATATCAAAATCACAACGAAAAAATAAAATGGAAACCCAAAACACTATGTCCCCTCCAAACTCTACCAGTCCTGTAGAGTTCTATAAGGAGAACCCCCTAGAGATAACCCAGGACACTGAATTTAAAAGAACAATCATAAACATGATCAAGGACTTCAACAAACTTAAAGAACACATGAACAAACAAATCAAAGAACTAAAAGAAATAGGGATAAATTTCTGAATGAATTCACAAAAGCGATAGAAACATTGAAGAAAACTCAGGCAGAAGTAAGCCAACAAGCCAACTCAAACAATAGGGGAAGGACTTACTGCTAGAATGAATGAAACGGAAAACAATGTCAACACTGGAGGATGAAGTTGACGAACTGGACCACTCAAGCAAATAGTATAGAAAATTTAAAAAAGAGAGGAATGGAATATGCAAGAGGTGTGGGACACCATGAAAAGACCAAATCTACGGATCATAGAGGAAGGAGAAGAATTTCAAGTTAATGGTGTTGACCAGATCTTAAACAGGATTGTATAAGAGAATTTCCTGAAATTAAGGAAAGACATCCCCATACAAATACAGGAAGCACAAATAACAGGACCAGACAGAAAGAAACTCCCAACGACATAGCATAGTAAAAACAATAAATATACACAACAAAGAGAGAATAGTGAAAGCAGCAAGAGAAAAACAAGTCACATACAGAGGAAAGCCCATCAGAATTACAGCTGACTTATCAATGAAAACTATGAAAACCAGAAGAGCCTTGGCCAAAGTATTTC